TTAACAGGGAAATATGTACGTTCAACAAAACCCATCGGCCCACAAGTAGCTCGTACAGTGGTTTGTACTCTTATGTAAAGAGCAGTTAGAACTGTTAAAGAAACTTCAGACTGTGTTTCTTTTCTTTACTTTGTCCACAGATCATGTCTCTCTCCCCTTCGGGAACCAATCCCATGGAGTCTCTTACAACGGCCTGTGACATGCCCCCTGCCGACCCTCATGCCTTCCACACCAGAATGGCCAGCTTTGATGCTTCTTTGCCTGAGATGAATAATCTTCAGATTTCTGAGGGTTCAAAGGTGAAGACTTTTGGCAATTAAGTTTGTAGCTTTCTTCAAGAAAAAGTATTTCCAATTTTCTGAGAAGTCTTAGAGGATTATAAGTGAGGGATTATCTTTATATTATTCCTTCTTACTTTTTTGGAAATAATTGAGTTTGTGCACCTGACCTCTGTTTCCGAGTTGTTTGAACCACAAACAAGAGCAGCCATCTTCTTGTTGGTTGAGGGAGATTGGATCTGAGTTCTTTGTAGAAAAGTATCTTACCTTTTCCATATCGCATGAACACTGCTGATTAACGGCCAGCAAATTGGCGTCTGCCTGAGATTGCTGTGACAGGAAACTGCCGTTCTTTGTCACGACTTTTATAAAACAATATGCTAAGTGAGGTGTGGGTGTATGCATGTACTTGGGGAAATTTTTTCTTAAGTAGGAACCAGTTATACAATTTTTACATTGATTTGACTCTTGCCTTTTGGCTTACTACTGGAATTTTTAATGTCAATCACAGTATTATGCCAGATTTGCAGAAAACTATCCTAGCTAGACTGCAGAGAAAAGTTAAGGATGCAGTTTTCTTATTTCAAAGGTCAGCTTAAAAAATGTAACAATGTATATTTCATTTAAAGTTTATTTTATCAAAATTGCCATAAAGTATCCTATCTGTAAAACAATCCACTCCCACACTGTGTTAAGTGCCTATATATATATATGCCCATCTGTATAGAATTTTGCTTTCTTTTATTAGAAATGCCAAAATAGCCAATTGTGGTCAGGGTAAAGTTTTCTTTATCATTGAGTTTGATTATGGTACTGTAAGTTTGAAAGAGAAAAAAAATAGAAAAAAATGTATGAAAAGACATTCTTTTTGATACTTTTACTGGAAAATAGGTCCTGGCTATTCTGTATTCTTTTATAGTGCACTAGAAACGGATCCAAGATCTAGGGAAGTCTATGCATTTTAAACCAAGAGCAACCAGCCAAATTGCAATCACTTAAAAGTACTGAAGCTTAAAGAATAATTATTTCTAAGATGTTCTCATTGCAAAGGGACTGATAAAGATTTAGCAGAGTCTTTCTTAGCCAAAAAAAGGACCAGAAAGGAAATGTGTCTGAGATTGAAATGCCGGAATCCTAAGATTAAGAAAGATTTTATGGAGAGGACATCATAAAATAACTGTGTCATTACTAGCATCTGGTATTTCTCAGTCTTAGAATAGTCATTTTCTCAGTGTTCCTATTTTGAATGCTAAGTTATGTGGATTTCTTGTAGAAAGCACTACCTTAGTGGTAGTATTTTTAGGGACTCACAGAAATCATCTAAATCTGTCAAAGCAAGGTTGAGTCTAATTTCTGAAAACCTGTCAGTGTTGTTCACAAGACCTGGGTTTCTGCAATGTTTGATATCTCTGTGATGTCCAAAAGTGAAAATAAAAGTGATTTTCCTAAGAATTCAGCCCTCCCACTAAAAGATTAAGGTCATGTATCCTAACAACCCAGTCATGGGTGGCCAGTCTTGCTGGCACCACTGTAGTTTTAAAAAGCAGGAAGAAGCAGATATGGACAAGCATCTGAAACTCACTATTTACGAGCAGTTCCTTCAAAGACATGAGAGATCCTGTTTCCCTAACATATCTTTAAACATTTCTGTTAATTTCCCCATTAATCCTAGGTTCAAAATAACTAAATGGGTGGCCAGATGGCAACGCATGATTAATGCTCCAATTCATATATATTTCTATGTTGCCTTGATTGTGTTTTTTTTTTAAGAAAATGACTCATTGAAACAAGTACGTGCTGTGATTTCTCCCTCTCCTCTGGTCTGTAACCCCAGTGCCTTCCTTCCGCTCAAAAAGAACAATCAGTTCTCCAGCTGACTCCCCCTGGCCCAAGTTCAAACCCAGCCTCTTTTTCCATTTTACTTGCTATGACTCTTTCCTGCCCTCTGATCCCAGTTCTGCTCACCCTAGAGCCCTTTCATTTTACCGCTCATTCTACGTTTCATAGCAACGTGAGAGCAGCCTCTCGTCTCTTTTATCTTCAAGGAGCAAGTGTTCCCAAGAGTAAAGCATACGTGGAAATGGGTCTTGGAGGATTTTCAGTAGAGAAAGGCCTACCAATGCGGCAGGCTCCGTGCGTAACTGTGGAGCACTCATGCGCACCGCAGACACCGATGGTTCTAAGTTCTAGTTCTCATACCTACAGGAATTCTACACTGGAAACAGACTTGCTTTAGAATGCTGGGGTTGGACAATCAAGAGTCCGGAATACAAAGGCAGTGTTTCTAGGCCCAGCCTGCCTCTGATAATCTACCTGATGGCAGCCAAGTCTCTCTCCCATTTCATCTATAAAATGTGGACATCAGACTGGGGGTCTCTGTGGTCTTTTCCAACTTTAGCATTTAGACCCCATAATCATGGGTCACATATGGTGATCTGCTAAGAGCCCCCTGGGGAACTATTGAGAGAAAGACTGAAAATAAGATGAATGGCCAGGGATTTAGGGAACCCCTGAGTCCAGGTACAGAGACAGAATATATTGTAGCCAGAAAACAAATGCCCCCAATTTCTATCACTCGTAATTGTAGCCTTTCTTATTTTTCCTTTATTTGAACTGATTTTCCTGTATGTATTCTTACATACTTGGGGGGATTCTTCTCTCTTTTTATTCTCCCAGGCTGAAGCCGTCCAGGAGGAGGACACCACGGTGCACAAGGATGATCTTTCTAGTTCCATCAATGAACTCCCAGCAACCTTTGAATGCAGTGATAGCTTTAGCCTGGATATGACCAAGGTGGAAGGAAAAGGCACTCAGGCGCTGAACCAGTTTACTCTTGCAAGGTAACAAGGCACCTGGCGGAAATGAATGGTGTGAGTGTACGTGGCATGTTGTATTACATTCATTCAAACTCAAGTGTCACACTTGAAGCAGTGCTGGGACTTGCTAATGAAGCAGTCCAACTTGGCATGTAACTGGGAGGGTTCTTAGCTGGTTGGGCCCTTATGTGGAACTGAAAAGATAACCGTGTAGCAACTCACAGTGCCATAGAATAACATAAAAAGACAAATAGAGGCCTGGGACATGGCCTTAGAAGCTTTGAAAACAAGAAAGAATGGCAACCTTGAAAATGAGCAATTCTTACCACTTTGAGTTAAAAGTCCAGAACAAGAGGCTCTTTATAAGCTAAATACTTTTTTTTAAGTGGGTGGCTTTCAGCCTACTAGGTGATTATTTCTGAGACCAGGGCAATACAGTCTGAGAAAATGAATAGAAAAAGAATATAAAGAGGGGCAGTTAAAAGCACTAATGCAGCATCTAGACTAAATCAAAAAGCAAACAGTTCCACAGCTTTGCTTCTGGAGAAGAAAAGCCAAAATCCTAAAACCACTCCTCTGAAGGCTGAAAGTGAGAACTAAGTAAAAGCTGCTGATACAGCTAGACAGAAGCCTTTCCCAAGGGGGGCAGAACCTGCCCATCAAAGTCAAGGGTTAAGTGATGCCAGCAGAGAATCGGCCTTTCCTCTCTGCTCTCTGCCTCTCTCACCCTGCGTGTCTCGTCTTTCAGTTCCTTCCCTCCCTCCACCCTTCTCTTCTGGGCGTCTATGTAATGCATTCATTAGCACTCTCTGTCCACAAAGCAGAAGTCGAAAGATTCAAAGTCTTTGTTCTAATTTTCCACAACACAAAAAGAGAAGGGCTGCAAAGACCAAAGCATAGGAACCCTCCTCGGTGCCTGGGGTATGGCCCGCGGGGTGGGTGAGAGGCAGTGGCTGGGGCCGAGCAGCCCAGAGTCGGTGGGAAGGGGATCCGAAACGGAGGCACCCCAGAGATCCCAGAGGTGAGAACTCAGTGCCCTGGACTCAGCAAAGCATCTCGGAGGCCTGTGAGTGACAGCCGGGTGCCCAAAGCAGCTCAGAGGGAGGTGGGCAGGTGGGGGTCCCTCGGGAGGCCGGCCCTGGATGCAAATTCATGCAACCCAAAGGGTGTGTCTGGAATTAACTGGGGCCTGGAGGAGCCCTTAGGTTTAAAACAGAAAACAATTGGCTGCTGAAAGATAAGAATTCCAGAGACACTCTCAATTAAGCCAGATTGGAGTTTAAAAACAAACGATGAGAAAGCTACCATTTGACGCACAGTGAATTGTGAAGGATTCAGAAGCAAAGTAATTTGTTATTTATATTGTTCTAAAGTCTGTTTTAAAATAATGATTGATAATACATATTTAAGTTTGGCTGTGAAAGTTATTTTTTCTTACTACAGTTACTAGACTATTCCTGCTCAGTTTCATACTCCTGAGCAGTACTTTTCTCTGCCCAGAATGATCACCTCAGGTCCCTCGACTGTCTCCCAGTTACACACAGTACCCTGATGGGAGGTCGCCTCAGTGAATGAAGCTTCCTTTTATTCTTCCTCCCTTCCCGTCACCAGGACCCCCAGCACACTGTACCTGGTCACACTCTGTTAGAATTACTTGTTCAGGTGAGGTGTCTGTCTCCCCTGAAGAGGCAAGGGACAGCATCTTACTCTGAGTCCCCTACAGCCAACACAGGTGCTCACACCCAATAGGTGCTCAGTAAGTGTAGAAAAAAACGAATGGAAAAACTGTTCTTTTTTTTTTTTTTTAAGGAAATCTTAAACATACAGCTTCTGATTTAATGCCAATAGGCCAGCATGTTGTAACAGAGCTGAGAGGTGGGGCCGGGCCCTGGGAAGGTACATTTTGGGTTAAATTTTTCTTCTTTATCAGTGTATTACATCGATCCCTATGAAGCTTATCTGCAATAATAGTTACACAAATGTGTGTTAGAATATCATCACTGTATCTCACAGTGCCACCAAATCCTATCCTGTGCTTAGATGGAAGTCAGGAGAGGGCAAAGCTGAATGTATAGTCCCTAAATATCATGCCCCGTTATACTGTGGCTTTCCCACAGATGGTCCAGGAAGAGCAATAACTTTTAGGAAGCATTATAGACCTAGGGAAGGAATGTGAGCTTTGGGGTCAGGCTCGCCCGTACTCTCTCTCTTACTGGTTGCATGACCTTAAGCAAGTCATTTGACTTCCATGTTTTCACCTGGTTGTGAGCACTAATGAGCTGAGGAGTGCAAAGCTACAGGACAGAGCTAGACACCTGACAGGACACGTGCCCAGATGGAGCTATTACTCTAGGTCCCCTGTGGTGTCTGCCCTTCCGTTCTCCGGCTCAAGGGGCAGGTTTTCGCGCTCTGTCTCCGGGAGCTGTGATGCTGGGAAACAGGACAGAGTCACGTCTCAGGACCTATTTTGTCTCCCTGACATTGAAGTGTTCTCAGTAACTCCACAGATCTGATGGACGGGCTGGGATGACCCCCGCTGCCGACTGACCCTGACCATCAGCAAAAAGAAAAGCAGTATTTATTTTAAAGATTGCGTGAGCATCTACACATTGGGAAATGAGATTTTAGGAAGAAACTTAGTCCATACTGGGTGCTTTTTACTTGATTTTAAGACCAATGTTTACTCTGCTCCCGGTACCGTCCCCACACTGAGGACCTAACGCTCACTTGATGTTTTTATAAAGATTAAAAACTAGTTTTTTCTAGTACCTCAGCAAAAACTTGGCCTTTACAAATGGCAATTATGTCGCCTTTCAGAATATTCAGAAAAGGTTCTGCTTCCTAACCTGTGATGCCGCCAGTTACCTCGGAGACAACCTGCGGGGCATCGGGTCCAAGTTTCTCAGCTCCTCTCAGATGCTCACCTCCTGCTCCGAGTGCCCCACGCTCTTCGTGGATGCGGAGACCGTGAGTAGCCCAGTCCTGCTCTGGCGAGCAGCCTGCCCAGTATAGGGTGCGGAACTTTAGGAAAGCATGTATGTGCCGTGGTTTGCTGGGCTGACGCTTTCCGTGTCCGCAGACAGGGCTGTTGTGTAATAACTCCTAAAGGCCTGACTGTACATGGTCAGCCCAGGCCAAGGCAAAGTCATTTCAGAGGATCGGGAGGAAAAATCCTCCTCTGGGCTCCCTCTCTGTCCTCGGTGATTCTCTCTGCTGGTGCCGGCAGCTGTGAATATGGTGAGCTCACAGCCCAGCGCTGACCTAGCCAGTCCCCACGGTGCCAGGTTGGCCTGCCAGGTGGGTCCCCAGGAGCACCTTGTCATCACTTTCCCACCCCCGAGTCTCAGGTGGAGACTGATTGGCCTCTGGGTGCATGTGTCCAGCCCAAACTGCACATGATGAGTTTAAAGGATGACTACAACAGGCTCTGGCTGACTGCTGAATTGTGGCGCTATGAGTATCATTCTAACCCTGCAAGACTGGTGAGCTCTTTGAGGGCACGGAGTGTCTGCCAGCTTTGGTCACATCCCCTGTGCATATCACAGACCTGTCTCACGTGCTGAGCAGGCACTGAGCTTTAGACTCAGTGCTTTGATTTTAGAAGTCTCTGAAGAGTCAGTCTTTCCCAGTTTGATGGGTGGTTGGCTCTCTTACAGCAAGGAATACAGTATGAGAAATCTATCTTAAATGATTTAAAATACAGATTAAATACAAAATCAGTTTGAAAGTGTATTTGGAGGTCTGTCTTCATACTGCTTGCAGTATTCTTACTAGATGAAGATACTAGAGTATGCATAAAATGGAAATCGTATCTTAATGTGTGCTCATATGGAATATTTGTTAACATTTGTCTGTCTCAATATTGGAAAAATGGGTAGTGTTCTAGGAGATTTGGATTAGCAAGCTAGTGGTCAATTATAATTGCAGCTGACAACACAGCAAAATCACAGAATGCACAGCTTATTAAAAATGGATGCCCCTTTAGGATTAGCACACATAACGTAGGGAGGGCACGGGGAAGGCAGTACAGTGCAGAGAAGACAAGTAGTGACTCTATAGCGTCTTACTATGCTGATGGACAGTGACTGCAATGGGGTATGTGGTGGGGACTTGATAATGGGGGGAATCTAGTAACCACAATGTTGCTCATGTGATTATATATTAATGAGACCAAAAAAAACTCAAAAACAATGTACACTAAAAAAAATAATAAAAATGGATGCCCCTGCTCCCTACTTTATATTCCTCTGAATATACTTCTCTTTTCTTTCTGGGGCTTTGTTTTTATGTAGGTATCTGTAGCTGTTTTAATACAAATTTTTTTCCTGTCTTTAGCTTCTTTCCTGTGGACTTCTAGACAAGCTCAAATTCAGTGTTTTGGAGCTGCAAGAATATCTGGATACTTACAACAACAGAAAAGAGGCCACTCTCTCAGTAAGTGTCTGTGTTTCTGTGCATATGATTCAGTTAAAATCAAATGAACCCAACCTCTTTGAGCTCCTGGGAGGTGTTGTGATTAACCTAAGAGAGGCTCTTTTGGGAGAAGACAGACTTTATCTAGTCCTCTGTTAGGTATTATAATTCCAATCTCATGGTGGTAGAACTGTCAATAGTGTGAACCATTCAAAAATAATAGCTATAAAAGAGAAAATTTCCAGCTTTTATTTTTAGACCCATAATTTCTCTACCAAGAAATCGGGAAAAGTGAGTATCTGCTTAATATGTCATTTTATCAGCGTTAAAACTTTCCCCAGAGATTTGAAATTCTTCATTACTTCCTTCCAGTGTTAGCCTCACCCAAACCTAGTTGAGATGGAGCCCATCTCTCTCTTCCTCTTAACTACTCTTAGTTGCTGTTTCTCCCTGTTTCTAGTGCCTCTCTTGGCCTTAGCACCTGCTCTTTACTCTTTTCTTCCCCCATAGATCTAGACTATAAAATGTTAGAAGTGATCCAGAAACCGTCCGTACAAACCCCTGATTTCCAACAAATCAGTGTGTGATATCTATGAAGCACTTCCTGTAATATACCAGGCACTGTAGAAAGAGCATGGATAGTGAAGTCACATGGACTTGGGTTCACATTACAGCTCAGCCTCTTAAGGGTTAGTGACCCTGGAAAAGTTACTTACCTTCTCTCATCTCAGATTCATCATCCATGAGACAGTGATAATAATTTGCAGAATTGTTGTAAGGATATAACAATTACAAACAGTCATAACAGCTTTCATTTCCTGAGCCCTTAAATGTGTCCAACAACCTGTTGAGTTAAATCTCTTAAATTAAATCATTGGACACCCACAGCGACCCTGGGAGTCAGCTCTTATTATCCTCATTAGCCAGAAGGTAGAAGAATGATATTAAAACCCAGGTTTGTGGGGTTCAGTGGTCCACGCTGTCAACCACAACACAGCATTGCCCGTAAAGTAGGCACAGCGCCTCGTATATAGGACACATTCAGTGTAATGTAACTGGGTTTTTGTTTATTACTACTTTTGTTATTGCAATTCTCATGACCTATCCAAGGGCAGGAATTCCAACATTGTAACAATTCTCATTATCTTCTGTTTCTGTAGCTCTTTACCTGTCATTGCTTTTCACCTCTCAATCATTGGTTAATAAACGTAATTCTTCATTCTGGTTAGTGACAAACCAATCTTTCCATATCAAGGGTGAATTTCAATTCTTCAGTGTTTATTGTTTTCTGACCAAAGGTTCCTTTTCACATCTGTATTAGTCACTATCCCAAATGCTTATGACATGTAGAATCTCTAAATAGCTGAGTTATTATTTAATAGCCTTTCTTTATTAAAGTAGACGTACCCCCATGGAAGCCACCTCAGTGTAACAGAGAGCTAGGGGTGCCATGAGTCAGGTTGCATTGTTCAGAATCACCCAGCCTGTGGGGAAATTTGGTCCTGTCTCTTAACCTCAGTCATATGAAAGGTTTTTAATCATATATGAATTTCTTTTAAATTATACATAAATTAGGATGATCTGGTGAAACCATTCTCCAGGGTGATATATCATTATGTTGAAATTACATTTTTTAATGAATATCCCTGTACCCACATGAACTGATATTTTATTTCAAATAGTTCATCTTCAGTCCAAAAAAATGACTGTCAGAAAGTTATGGCAAAATTTTATTTTACTGCGATTAGAGGCTTAATCGATTTTCCCTGACAAAATGGATGATAAAAATGTTCTCAGGATCTCACTGAATTCACTTACGTCTACACCCCTTTCTGACCACAGTGGCTTGCAAACTGTAAGGCGACATTTTCAGGAGGATCAAGAGATGGCGTGATTACCTGTCAACCAGGGGACTCGGAAGAAAAGGTAATGTAAGTCTGTTGGAATTTATTTTAAGGAAAAATCCTCCTCTGGGCTCCCTCTCTGTCCTCGGTGATTCTCTCTGCTGGTGCCGGCAGCTGTGAATATGGTGAGCTCACAGCCCAGCGCTGACCTAGCCAGTCCCCACGGTGCCAGGTTGGCCTGCCAGGTGGGTCCCCAGGAGCACCTTGTCATCACTTTCCCACCCCCGAGTCTCAGGTGGAGACTGATTGGCCTCTGGGTGCATGTGTCCAGCCCAAACTGCACATGATGAGTTTAAAGGATGACTACAACAGGCTCTGGCTGACTGCTGAATTGTGGCGCTATGAGTATCATTCTAACCCTGCAAGACTGGTGAGCTCTTTGAGGGCACGGAGTGTCTGCCAGCTTTGGTCACATCCCCTGTGCATATCACAGACCTGTCTCACGTGCTGAGCAGGCACTGAGCTTTAGACTCAGTGCTTTGATTTTAGAAGTCTCTGAAGAGTCAGTCTTTCCCAGTTTGATGGGTGGTTGGCTCTCTTACAGCAAGGAATACAGTATGAGAAATCTATCTTAAATGATTTAAAATACAGATTAAATACAAAATCAGTTTGAAAGTGTATTTGGAGGTCTGTCTTCATACTGCTTGCAGTATTCTTACTAGATGAAGATACTAGAGTATGCATAAAATGGAAATTGTATCTTAATGTGTGCTCATATGGAATATTTGTTAACATTTGTCTGTCTCAATATTGGAAAAATGGGTAGTGTTCTAGGAGATTTGGATTAGCAAGCTAGTGGTCAATTATAATTGCAGCTGACAACACAGCAAAATCACAGAATGCACAGCTTATTAAAAATGGATGCCCCTTTAGGATTAGCACACATAACGTAGGGAGGGCACGGGGAAGGCAGTACAGTGCAGAGAAGACAAGTAGTGACTCTATAGCGTCTTACTATGCTGATGGACAGTGACTGCAATGGGGTATGTGGTGGGGACTTGATAATGGGGGGAATCTAGTAACCACAATGTTGCTCATGTGATTATATATTAATGAGACCAAAAAAAACTCAAAAACAATGTACACTAAAAAAAATAATAAAAATGGATGCCCCTGCTCCCTACTTTATATTCCTCTGAATATACTTCTCTTTTCTTTCTGGGGCTTTGTTTTTATGTAGGTATCTGTAGCTGTTTTAATACAAATTTTTTTCCTGTCTTTAGCTTCTTTCCTGTGGACTTCTAGACAAGCTCAAATTCAGTGTTTTGGAGCTGCAAGAATATCTGGATACTTACAACAACAGAAAAGAGGCCACTCTCTCAGTAAGTGTCTGTGTTTCTGTGCATATGATTCAGTTAAAATCAAATGAACCCAACCTCTTTGAGCTCCTGGGAGGTGTTGTGATTAACCTAAGAGAGGCTCTTTTGGGAGAAGACAGACTTTATCTAGTCCTCTGTTAGGTATTATAATTCCAATCTCATGGTGGTAGAACTGTCAATAGTGTGAACCATTCAAAAATAATAGCTATAAAAGAGAAAATTTCCAGCTTTTATTTTTAGACCCATAATTTCTCTACCAAGAAATCGGGAAAAGTGAGTATCTGCTTAATATGTCATTTTATCAGCGTTAAAACTTTCCCCAGAGATTTGAAATTCTTCATTACTTCCTTCCAGTGTTAGCCTCACCCAAACCTAGTTGAGATGGAGCCCATCTCTCTCTTCCTCTTAACTACTCTTAGTTGCTGTTTCTCCCTGTTTCTAGTGCCTCTCTTGGCCTTAGCACCTGCTCTTTACTCTTTTCTTCCCCCATAGATCTAGACTATAAAATGTTAGAAGTGATCCAGAAACCGTCCGTACAAACCCCTGATTTCCAACAAATCAGTGTGTGATATCTATGAAGCACTTCCTGTAATATACCAGGCACTGTAGAAAGAGCATGGATAGTGAAGTCACATGGACTTGGGTTCACATTACAGCTCAGCCTCTTAAGGGTTAGTGACCCTGGAAAAGTTACTTACCTTCTCTCATCTCAGATTCATCATCCATGAGACAGTGATAATGATTTGCAGAATTGTTGTAAGGATATAACAATTACAAACAGTCATAACAGCTTTCATTTCCTGAGCCCTTAAATGTGTCCAACAACCTGTTGAGTTAAATCTCTTAAATTAAATCACTGGACACCCACAGCGACCCTGGGAGTCAGCTCTTATTATCCTCATTAGCCAGAAGGTAGAAGAATGATATTAAAACCCAGGTTTGTGGGGTTCAGTGGTCCATGCTGTCAACCACAACACAGCATTGCCCGTAAAGTAGGCACAGCGCCTCGTATATAGGACACATTCAGTGTAAAATAACTGGGTTTTTGTTTATTACTACTTTTGTTATTGCAATTCTCATGACCTATCCAAGGGCAGGAATTCCAACATTGTAACAATTCTCATTATCTTCTGTTTCTGTAGCTCTTTACCTGTCATTGCTTTTCACCTCTCAATCATTGGTTAATAAACGTAATTCTTCATTCTGGTTAGTGACAAACCAATCTTTCCATATCAAGGGTGAATTTCAATTCTTCAGTGTTTATTGTTTTCTGACCAAAGGTTCCTTTTCACATCTGTATTAGTCACTATCCCAAATGCTTATGACATGTAGAATCTCTAAATAGCTGAGTTATTATTTAATAGCCTTTCTTTATTAAAGTAGACGTACCCCCATGGAAGCCACCTCAGTGTAACAGAGAGCTAGGGGTGCCATGAGTCAGGTTGCATTGTTCAGAATCACCCAGCCTGTGGGGAAATTTGGTCCTGTCTCTTAACCTCAGTCATATGAAAGGTTTTTAATCATATATGAATTTCTTTTAAATTATACATAAATTAGGATGATCTGGTGAAACCATTCTCCAGGGTGATATATCATTATGTTGAAATTACATTTTTTAATGAATATCCCTGTACCCACATGAACTGATATTTTATTTCAAATAGTTCATCTTCAGTCCAAAAAAATGACTGTCAGAAAGTTATGGCAAAATTTTATTTTACTGCGATTAGAGGCTTAATCGATTTTCCCTGACAAAATGGATGATAAAAATGTTCTCAGGATCTCACTGAATTCACTTACGTCTACACCCCTTTCTGACCACAGTGGCTTGCAAACTGTAAGGCGACATTTTCAGGAGGATCAAGAGATGGCGTGATTACCTGTCAACCAGGGGACTCGGAAGAAAAGGTAATGTAAGTCTGTTGGAATTTATTTTGACTCTGTTCTGACATTGCGTGCTGGTTTTGATCCACCTGAGAAGCGTGGCACTTGAGACAAGAAGAGGAAGGAATGAGCCATCCCACAGTTCACATGAAACCCACAGAGTAAGACAGAATGACATTCATGCCAAGCATGACTGTGTGTTGATGGGTTTGGAGTGGATTTCTTTTCTTTTCTTCTTTTTTTTTTTTTAAAATAGAGGTATAAAGTAACCTTTTTGCTGGACATTGTCTAACTATACTAATCATTTCCCAATAAATCTGTTCTTCAGAATATAAAACCAAATTTTATTAATTCTTCACCAAGTCACTAGTTCCTTCAATGAATAAAGTCTTGGTTGACCTTTCAGCAGGCACTCTAGAAACAGATTTTTCATTCTCATTTAGAATCGCTTTAAGTACAGAAATTAAAGTGTGGTCTGCATTTCCACATCACTGCCCTTCTTGAGGACATGTATATTTCACATTGTGTCTTACAGAGAACGTTCACATTCCTGAAATGATTTGATTCTCCCTGGGTGCAGGGTAGGCAGCCTTAGCCCCATTCTACAGATGAGGAAACTAAGCTTGTCTTATCTAAGCCTCCACAGCTGATAAGTGACAGGCAGAAACAGCTTGGCCACAACATCTGGAAACAGACAAATATACATAAGTGGTTTATTTATACAATTGACCCTTGAACAACATAGGGGTTAGGGGTGCCAGCACCCCCACACAGTTGAAAATCCAGTGTAACTTTGACTCCCCAGAACTTAACTTCTAATAGCCTACTGTTGACCAGAAGCCCTACCAGGTATACAAACAGCTGATTAGCATGAATTTTGTATGTTATATATACAACTGTATTCTTAATTAAAGCAAGCTAGAGAAAAGAAAATGTATTTCAAGTTTTCACAAATCTCAAAAAAATTTCCAATATATTTATTGAAAAAACTCCTCATATAAGTGGACCTGCGTAGTTCAAACCCATGTTGTTCAAGGGTCAGCTGCATTACATTTTTAAAGTTATGTTTAATGACTTTACATAAGATGTCTCTCATAAGCAATGCATAGCTGAATGTGCAGTTCAAAATACAACTCCAGTATTTCCATTAGTTCCTGCTTATATGTCTATGACGTGCTCTAATTTTCACTGGATATCCTGCATGATCAGCATACCCCAGAAGAAGTAATATGTTTAAAAAATATATATATGTATATATATATAACCTATGTTTCAGGTTTATGGCCACCTAATAACACCCACACTTTCTGATTCCAGGCCCAGTTCTTCCCCCAAGTATACTCTGCTCTTAAAACAAATTCAATCAGAGAAAAGTTACCAGGTTATGACTGACAATTAGCACAAATGTAATCCACTTCATGATATAGCTTGTATAGTGGAATATAAAAGTTATCTAAATATTTACCTTGAATCATCAAATTCTCTTATATTCCCTATAATCAAATCTCAGTCAGGTAAATGCATTAATACATTGCAGATTTTTAAGAACAAGGGTTAAAACCAAATTTATTATTTGTTCTTCGCTTATAGCTTCCTGGCTAATTCTAAGATACCCAGAAACTCCAATTAAATCATTCTATTTCCCAAACATCCAAATTTTCAAATGGGTGTTTCTGTTCTGCTTGTAGTTTCTGTTGTTTCACTTTGTTTAGATGCTCTTTCCCGTCCCCCAACCCTCACCCAATTCTTCTCCATCTCCCTCAAAGAAAGACTGCATAATCTTATGTCTGGTCCATGAATTCTTATTTGCTCCTCGCCCACCTCTATCTTTCTTTACTTCTGTTTCATAGGCCTGTTTCTTCCCATCTGTTTTCTTGTTTTTAGAGTTAACTTATTCATTCACTTACTTATATGTGGCAGCTTTGTTAGCATTATACTAAATAAAGTCTTGAGAAGACAAAAGTAGAAAGAAGAAACTAATATTTTTCAAGCACTGTACATGTATCTCCTTGGATATTTTCATAAATTGAAATACAATTTACATTATATTTTCATATTTTTATACTTCATATAGTTCATATATATATATTACATAGACACATACATTTTAGATGTACATTATAGTGATTAAATAATTACATGCATTACAAAATGCACACCATGGTAAGTGCAGTTACCTCTGTCACCCCAAAAACCTATTACAGTATCATTGACTGTATTCTCCATGCTGTACTTTGCACCCCCATGACTAATTTAAATATTTTACAATTGACAGTTTTTACCTCTTAAATTTATTGAGACTTGTGTTCGGCCTATTATGGGGAATGTTCCAGGTGTTCTTGAAAAGACAGTCCATTATTCTGTTTTGAATGGACTGTTCTGTATTTATCGGTTAAGTCCATCGTGTTCTAATGTGTCAATCAAAGCCAGGGTTTCCTTATTGATTCTCTGTCTGGATGATCTATCCATTAGATGTCAGAGATGTAAATGGAAGGTTCTTCCTTTCTCCCTCCCTTTCTCTCTCTCTCTCTCTCTCTAATACCCAGAAATGGAATTACTGGATCATATAGTATTTCTATTTTTAATGTTTTGAGGAATCTCCATACTGTTTTCCATACTGGCTGCACCAGTTTACAATCCTACCAATGGCGCACAAGGATTCCCTTTCTCCACATCCTTGCCAATGCTTAGTATTTCTTGTCTCTTTGAAACGACCCATTCTGACTGGTGTGAGGTAATATCCCATTTTGGCTTTGACTTGCATTTCTCTGATGATCAGTGATGCTGAGCATCTTTTTATGTGTCTGTTGGCATCTGTATGTCTTTGGAAAAATGTCCATTCATGTCCTCTGCCCGTTTTTTAATAAGACTATTTGGTTTTGGGGTTATTGACTTGAATGAGTTCTTTATATATTTTGGATTAACTTCTTAACAGATATATCATTTGCAAATATCTTCTTTCATTCAGTAGGTTACCCTTTTGTTTTGTTGGCGGTTTCCTTTGCTGTGCAGAAGTTTGATGTGGTCCCATAGCTTATTTTGGCTATTTCCCTTCCCTAAGGAAACCTGACGGGCTATGTCAATCATAAGCATAAAATTTGTGTTAGAGCAGAATACAGAAAAATAAGAATGGCTATGCCACTCTTAATGAGTAAAATTAGATTATTCTGGGCTTTTTAACCTTCCCTGTCTATGATAAGTTCCTAACATCTTAGTTTCTTGATAATTTTTTCTCATTTTGAGAAAACCTACCTCTTAATCCAGTTTATAAATCAAGCCATATCAGGAGTACAGGAACAGAGCTTGGAGAAAATCCTTGTGATCAAAGAAAACAATGACATGCCTGCAACATTTTCAAAAGAACCTAAGTCACCAGAACAGATACATTTATAAAGGAATTATTTTTACAACCTGGATGCAGGAGAACATTAGCACGGGGGAGGGGGGGATTTAACATTTTCCATAAATGGCTTCTTTAGAAGGCATTTTTCTCTAACCTTTTGGAGCTCAAAATACAAACTAGGTCCCAGCCTGCAGCCTAGGAAAGGATTCTGAGACAATAAATATCAAGGCAGCTTGGACTAGCCTATTTAAAAAGGAGAATTTAAGAAGGATGCTGAGAACTGTGCATCAAATTGGCCATCTCCCAAGAAACACAAGTTGGTGGCCTTAAGGCTGAGTAGGAGGAATTCACTGACAATGAAATTGCTTGGCACCAAGCGGGGGTCAAAAAGTCATTTGCTTTTATTGAACAAAGAAGATTTTGCTTTAACTCATTTGATGACCTTTTGGATTACAACCTTGCTTTGGAAACCTGTAAAAAAAATAGCAGTTTTCTTGACACAAGACCACGTAATGTACTCAGCACTTGCTTCATTCCACACTTCTAAAAATTAAATTCCATAGTAGAAGCCGCTGCCTGCTAAGATGCATACTAAACTGTTCAATCAGATCTGATGTTTTCCAAAAGGTCTTCATGGGTGGAAATTCTGTATATATAGAGAGTTAAAACTCTGTGTACTCTTTTTTAATGTGACAACTGTATTTCAATATCCCAAACCCACATGATATTAGTACAGGTGAGGTGGGAAGAAATCTGTGAATAGTTGGGCCAGGGTGGTAATGGTAATGCTTTGTTCTTGAAGATACTGATAAATAATTTGGGTTTTATTTTATTAACAGGCTATACCTTATGGTAAATACAAATACAGTAACTGGTGATAACCCAGAGATTTGGGGAAGAGCTTTAAAATAAGGGGTTTTTGTTGTTAAGGACTAGAAAGTGAGTTAAGTAGATTCTTAAATATTTTGAAAACCCAGAACCACATATATGGACCAATAATTAGGAATGGCATTTCTGTCAAGTTGTGTTTATCTCTTCCCATATCCCCAAACTTTCCTTAAACCAACTCTATGGTTATGATATGGTGACACCAAAGAGTTTTGGTAGCCATAGTTGAACATGACCAAGTTATAAACTAATATTATTCTAGACTAACCATCAGGTCTAGATTACTTTTAGAAATTATCTACTGGGAAAAAAAATTTTATGAAAACTAAAATACAAGAAAATTACTTGTCATATCTCACACTTGTTTGGGAGTACACAACGTTTAGTCCTTTGAAATGACAATATCTAGCAATCCTAAAAAAGTTCTCAATGTGGAGAGCAATATGACTTCCAAAGAAAATGCCACTTAGATTGTTAATTATAGTCTATGTTAATTGGATGGTCATAGTTTAGTAGATATGAAGCCAAACGTACTAAGACTCTGACTTAACTAACATTTAGCAGCAGTATAAATTTGGGGGGCTATAATTCTTACTCAATTGGTCTCCTCACAGTTTTACTATGTTCACACATTTTTCATATTTAAACATTAAAATTTGCAAGTGATAGAAGTTTTGATTTCTGGTCTCTAAGACTGACGAAATCTAAACCAACTAATCAGAGAATCTAAAAGATTACAAATTACATTTTTCAACATGTTTCCCATTAGAGCTTGTATTTAACTGGGCCGCTGTGCATGTTGAATGGGTACAACATTTGCAACCATTATCAAGTCTGGGCAAGCAGGGCTAATACTGCTGAGGGCTCTGCTCTTGGAAGAGGGCCGTGCTTCCTGTTGCATGCACACACTGACCCTGTACTTTCTTTCCTTTCCTTCGTTTCCTGTGCCATGCTTGCTGTGTAGCAAATGGAATCTCTTGCAGTAAGTTAACTTTCTTTCATACTCTTTGTCCACTTTAGGCACGGACCCATAACAAATCTTATTTTTACTGTTACTATTATATCTCTTTCCCCTTTGCATTTAATTTTATTTGGTGGACTGAGACATGGAGTTTAGTAGTAGCATTCTGGGCTGCTTTAGCCCCACAGTAGAAACCTTTATGTCTATAAACTCTCAAAGTATCTGTGGAATATTCTGAGTAATAACTACCATTATCTGACACTTAGGAGAGTCAGAATTTTCACAGCTAGGTTTCACCCAAAATTGTGAAGGTAACATTATGTCTTTAAGTAGTACTTTATCTGTGAATCTCTGGCAGTTATCTTTTATACCAGATTTTAAAAGATTTCCATAAAGAAAGGTTTAAAGGATCACAAAATATTTTACTAAACCAACTAACGATCTAGTCTGGGTTAACTTCTGAGTGTAGCTACTTCTTTACACTTAGGCTGCATTAGGAAATCAAATGAATCCAAGTAGAATTGTTTCCCCCAACCCAAGGCCAAGGAAAGCATGAGAGAAGCAAGAAAACCTTGTTACTCCTTCAGCATAGTATTAGCATCAATTGTAGTAACTTTTAAAAAAAATTAAGATCAAAAGTCTACTAGTAATACTATTAATAGAAGTATCTTCCTAAAACTCAAGTTTAAGTTCTTGTAATTTTTTTCTTTAAATTGATGGGGAAACAATTTTGGGTCACCTCAGAAGCTCTCAATTCCAAGCTGGGTTCTTTATAGTCCATCAGCAAAAGAAAGACCCTATTTATCCTTACTTAACCACAATTAAAAACTGCACAAGGAAGTGTTTGGTTTAAGCCACATGTTTAACCCACTTCCGCTGGTGACTGCAGAGCCATGAAATTCTCTCTAGTGAAGGTGCTCTTTTCCTTGCACAGAATTCCCTTCCACTACCCAGAGCTAACCCGTTCTTGGGAAAAAACAGGGTTTAGAGGCCTTTATAAGCAGATACAACTCAAAGAGTAGCTTGATCGTTGGTATTGGAATTTCTCATGATTTCTTTTCCCTCATAGTAGACACAAGCCACATAATGAAAACATTTTAAATTCCAGAGGTATCTACAGGGCTTAAGGGCCATTTTGTATGACTAGTTTTTAATGTTCTTTACACAAATTTTTTAATATTTCATTTCCTTAAGCACTTTTGGCCCTTTTTCTAACTAATTCAATCATCAGTAAAACTGATACAGCACCTTAGAGGATCATGTGACTGTTGTATTTATACAGACTTTAGGATGAGTATCTGCACCCTGAATCACAGCCAGAATTGTCACAAGAAGTAATCTCCCAGATGTCTGCTGATTTTATAAATTGAACACCGGAAATGACTTGACGTTTTGCCTTTCAAATATATTTTAATTTTTAAAAAGTTATTTGTTTCTAAAAACAATTTCAGCTTACAAAATTTAAGGCTACTACAGCTATCATTTGTAGGTATGTAAGTGGCAATTATAATGGAAACTTGGCCATTCACTCAGTCCCTGTATAGCTTGCTACTTCTAATTTATCATCTTCCAGGAGCTATTCTGTATTCATGCATCTTTCACTGATATTTATTGAATGGATTTTGTTGTTCTATTTTGATAGCTAGTTGCATTTCCTTGATGAAAAGAAAAATGTGTTTGTCCCCACCAAGATTTCACTTGTTATCCAAGAGTGATCCTTAACTATTTCTTCCCGTGCAAATTCTCTTTAGCAATTGGAACTGTGTCAGAGACTCTATAAGCTACATTTCCAGCTGCTGCTGCTTTTTCAGTCCTACTGTAAGCTCATCGGCCAGGTGCACGAAGTCAGCTCCATGCCAGAGGTGAGCCCACACACTTCCCAACCCCAAGACCCGCCATGAAAATCATTCTTTTCCTTTGGTTCCCACAGCTCGCCTGTTTATTACTGCCCAAGAGGTTTTATTCCCACATAATTATTTTGCTCAAGCACAAGTCTTAAATGTGTCTTCTATCTCTTCCTATTCTCACTTGGCAGTGCCAGGGCTAGGGTGAGGCAAGTGACAAGCCTAGGCACAAAATTTAAGAATGGCCCTCAAGAGTGAGCACCTCTCTAAACACTATGCTGAGACACCTCAGTTGCCCCACTCCGATCCTGGCCCTGAAAAATTATTTGAGAAATATTATTAGAAAAATTTCCTTGTGTTATAATTTTTCTACTTTACTTTCAGCTTTTCATAGCTTTTACAATGAGATAAGAAGGAAATACATGATGTGGGATTCTCTTTGGCTTCTCTGCCCTGCTTAGCATCAGGATGCTTTAACGTTTTTAAGGGTAAAAAGGTAAAATAATTTAAACATACTACTTCCAAGCCAAAATTTTCCTAGAAGTGAAAAAACAATGCAATACAGTCAGTGAAATAATGGTGGTGTACATTGGATGTATCATGGACATGCAGAGGGTAAGCGCTTCACCTGGAGGCAAGGAGGTTGAAACAGGAAAGCTTTACGGAGGAGATCACACTTAAGCTGACTCTGAAGGGATGAGTTGGAGTTAGAGAGGAGGGGTCGGGGCTAAGGAGGAGCCTTCCAGCAAGAAGAAACAGCACGGACATGAACACAGTGCAGAGTAAGAGAAGGAAACTACAGGTCCAAGCACTTAGTGTCGCTAGAATACAACATGCAGACCAAAAGGGGGGTGATGGGAGAAGACAGGAGGGACAGGTTAGGCTGAGGTCATGGAAGATGTTGGGAGACCTCTGTTGCAGGGATGCAGAGGGTGGATTTGATGACAGCTAGACTGGAGACAACGAGATCAGTCATGAGTCTGCTAAGACAGCACAGGTGGGAGATGAGAGCTTGAACTAGGAGAGAAGTCAGTCTCTGGAGAGGAGTAGGAAAGGGGAGAAAGGTTATCAGATGAAGCAGGGCCCCAGTGGTGATACAGCTGAGACAGGCATTGAAAAAGCAGACTGCAGCAGTTGTGCGTCCCATCAAGCCTTCCGCCAGCCAGTCAGTGACCGGGTCCACCTACATGACCACGCCCAGGTTTAGGCCTCTTGCAGGAAGTTAAATATGAGGATCTGAGATCAGAGGAGAGAGAAAGGTGCATAAGTGGTAATTGTCGGTGAACAGCCAAGAGTCCATGAAACATCCTACCCTGAGGAGTGGGGTGATGATGGAGCCGAGGATGCCACATGGAAGAGGAGGAGGGGACAGAATGACAACTATGTTACCATATTTATTACTCAGTTTGGGAAAAGGTGTGTAGTTTTTATACTTTCAAATGCCAGTTTCAAGGGAGGCAAGAGTCACACATCTTTATGAAGAGCTTCAGAAACCAGTTCTCCAAAGATTTAGAAATTAACAGGTAAAAGACAGTTGTTACCTGTTATTTACCATGTTGTCAAGAAAAAAGTTGCTTTTATTCTTCTAGCAACTATTAGCAGGATCCTTAGAGTCCATTTGTGCTAAAAAAAAAAAGAGGATATGCAAATGTAACCTCGCAAGTGATTTTCCATATTAAAAAAGCGATTCAAGTTTCACTTTAGTACATTGTGTTAAATATTATGTGTATACATACATATTATATGTAATATGTATTATTGTATGGTATGTATGATTCATATGATACATATCATATATCATGATAATAAAATTATCAAGTAAATTTGAAATGAATTTCTCCTTATTTTAAATCTAGGTAAGTTTTAAATACTAGACACACACATGGTATTTAAAACTTACCTAGATTTAAAATAAGGAGAAATTCGCTTTCAATCAAAAGTTATATATATAAGATACTCTAGTATCTTATTTAAAAGGATTACCTCAGTAAATTTTAAGCCTCGTACCTGAATAGGTAGTTGTATTAAACAGGCATCTGAGTGAAGACAAACAGCCCTTGAGGGTTCCTGCTCTGTAAGTTGTACAGTGAGCAAAGCTGGGAACAAAGAAATGTGAAGATGATGGGAAAATCAGCTTTCAAAAAAAATGAGCACCATCAGCTTACATCACAAAGGAAATACCCCTTTAAATGTTTTTAAAATGCTCTTGAGATCAAATTGCAACACAGTTGACTTCCATAGTACATCCTGGGGCACTAAAAAGGGACACAGATTTTTTTCTTATGATTTACTTTGTAACACACTCTGGCACTTTGGGTTCCGGTAATTTTGGAGGGAAAGGTCTCTTACCATGAACACGCCTATTAACACTGAGGTTTTTCCTCTTCTTTAAAATTATGTCTTTAACGTTTTCCCATGGCATAGAAATAGTGAGAAAAATTTATTTTTCAACAGGGTCCATGTTCATGATTATATTTTGAGCATTTATGTGCCAAGCTGTACTAAGCATTTTATGTACTTTATCTCATTTCATCTTTAAAACAACCTATGAGGTAGGGAAGATCTTTAGCCTCAGACGAGAAAAGTGAGGCCCATGAAAGTGTATTTGCTTGACTATAGTCCCTAGGACACTGCAGAATTGGCATGTGAACCCAGCTCTACGCAGCTCCCAAGCCTGTTCTCTTGCGCATTTTACCTGTGATGCCTTTCTACTTAAATAGAAAACATTTTAAAGGAAGTCTTAATCTTTTATACAAGAGCATCCCAGCTGTTGATACATAAAGTTATTCAGTGCATACAGCCCTCTATACATACCATGTAGCACAGTTTCAGTTGTCTCAACTGACCTATTAAGCTCATGCTTAACCAGACCTCATCGAATCAAACTGTTTTCCTTTGGACACGTATAATCCAGCCTGCAACTAAATATGACAAAAATAAAATTTTCTTAACAGCTGCTAAATATGTCCAGGGAGCTGAGTGACTTAAAGAAAAACCTGAAGGAGGCCACGGCGGCCATTGCAGCTGACCCTCTGTATACAGAGGGCGCGTGGTCTGAGCCAACCTTCACGTCCACTGAAGCGGCCATCCAGTCCGTGCTGGAGTGCTTGAAGAACAACGAACTTGGCAAGGCTTTATGGCAAATCAGGGAATGCAGGTGGCTCTACTATTTCTTTTAGATGGTTAAAGGAGATGCATGCCTGATTTTGACTTTGCATGTGGTTGGGGACTGACTCACTATAGCATGAACAGCTAGACATTTTATATACGTCTGCCTCAGATATTTACCATTCTCATGACAGAAACATTGGATTTTTGAACTTAAATGTTAAAAGTATTTGTACTGGTTCTAGTAATTTGTCATCCCTATAGTATTGAGACACTTCAAAATATACCCCAACATAATTTGAAAACTAATATCCTTTTGGGGTTTTTCCCCCTATGTGTTGATGGTATATTCACAGTCATTGGAACCAGAGAGCTATAGTAATAACATCAATGTTTTAAGATTATCATGTTCCATCTGATATTTTGATACTTTAGATATTTCCATCACCATCATCAATTTTAGAATATTGAGTATTATTGATTTTGATGTTTGTTCACTGAATATTAAATTGTATACTTTAGACCGGATTACATAGAATGTAAATTATATATCTCAAAGATATTTTTTTTAAAAGAGTTATCTTATACTAACAGACTCATAATCTCTAATGTATGCCATTATTTTCTGACTGCAGAAGTTTGTGGCCCAATGATATCTTTGGAAGCAGTTCTGATGATGAGGTCCAGACACTACTGAATATTTATTTCCGTCACCAAACTCTAGGGCAAACAGGCACTTACGCACTGGTGGGGTCTAATCAGAGCCTGACCGAAATCTGCACGAAGCTGATGGAGCTGAACATGGAAATCCGGGACATGATTCGCAGGGCCCAGAGCTACCGGGTCCTCGCTGCTTATGTTCCAGACTCCAGCGCCTCTGGCACTAGTCTCTGACAGGAGCCTCCCATCCCCCATGGGTCCCAAGCTGGGGGTGCTGTCATGCTGGAGTGACGTCATTCAGTGTCTTCTCAGCCTTCAGAAGACTTGGTCAAACTGTCCTCCCTCTCGTTACCTGTAGGACTTTTTCTAAAGAAGATGGCAGAACTTCCCATGTGTAGCGATATTCTAAGAAGCAAGGTAGCCGAGAATATTCTGGGACAGACTCCACCGCCCATCATGCTGTGTGGCACAAATGTGTTATCATTTTACTGAGCAAATGCAACTCACTACTGAAGAAGTGACTTCCTTTGCATACCAAAGCTGACTACACTGAACAATACCTTCCTTTCTAGAAATAATTTTAGATTGGCAAAAGTGCAATGTTTCTTCACTAAAAAAATTTTATATTCTAGAACTTGTACATTCTTTCCCTTTTTTTGTTTTTTCCTCTTTTTGGTGGGCTAAGGAAGGAGCAGGCAGCATGAAGCTGGCCACTGAAAATTATAAGATGGTCAAAAGCTGACAGCCTGTAAACATGAAAAGGGAATTATAAATGGACAATTTAATGTACACTGTAATTTGAATATGATTACTGTACCTAAAATGAGCTGCTATGAAGTACCTTCCTTATGTTGCTAGGCTACTGTTTCTGAAAGCCCTAGACCTCTTTGCAGGGGTCTGTGATTAGGACTCTAGCACCAAAAATGGTCCAGAGACTTTTTTTTTAAGGATCTTGGCTGCTTTTTACTAGAAGGTTCCTTTTATGAGCATATTTATACTACAGAAGGATAAGTGTTAATTTTAACCAACTTTGCCATTTTGTAGAAAAAAGTTAAAAGACATTCACATTATTAATCAAGTCTTGTCACCTGTCATGCATGAATATTTTAATACCCACTTGGATAGCCAGAAGTAGAATCATCAAGGTAAAATATGAGTTGTCACTTTTTTCCTTAAGAAATGTTGTATTTTATTTGTAATATATATGTAAATGGCCATTCTTAAGTTTTCTCCATAAACTTAAGGCTGTCAAGTGTTGGATGTGTGCATGTAAACCTGTTGCACATCAGAAAAACATATTCAGAGTTTATCTATGTAACTTATTCACTCTGTAAATACATTTAAAGTTTTTGTGATGTAATCTTGGTTGATACTCTAAGGGAAGTTCTGAACAGACTAAAAAAAAAGACAAAACACGAATGTGTGCATGTAAACCTGTTGCACATCAGAAAAACATATTCAGAGTTTATCTATGTAACTTATTCACTCTGTAAATACATTTAAAGTTTTTGTGATGTAATCTTGGTTGATACTCTGTTCAGAACTTCCCTTAGACTAAAAAAAAAGACAAAACACGTATTGACCATGGATTTTCTTTCTGGTTAATGAAGCTTTTGCCTTTGACACACCTTTTTTTGTGTCATGTGGGTTGCCACAGTGACAACCCGTAGGGGCACCATTCATGTCTGTTCCATGAATGGTGCCTGTTAGGGCTCTGCACCAAGCACCTGACCCTGTGAAGCAGGAGGGATCTGCAACCTCTCTGGAAGAGGACAACAAAAAAAGAACGTCAATTTCAACTAAAGAGAGAAGCCAGAAGACTGAAAGCTCCACCTCTCCACAGCCTATAAGTAAGTTGTCATCCTTAAAATTGTGAAACAGACTACAATGAGCAGGAAAAAGGGGTTTTAATTCTGTCACTACCACCCATCTACCTTCCACCCCACTCGAGAAACAGACACACAATCTAACTTCTACTGTCTTCCCACTCATATTTATTTAGACTGACAAATATAGCTTGCTTTCCCAACATACAACAACTACATCATAAGTAGTCATTTTCTAGAAGTATCCAGACACAGGGAGTCTGACCCAGGATTTATTTGTTGCCACAGATAACAACGAGTAACTTACTTTAAAAACTTTCTGGATATTGCTGTCAACATATTCCTCTTATGATTTTTTCAACTTACACGAAAGATGATTTGTAGGAGACACCTGAACCATAGTCTGTCTGAAAATATCATAAGATGTAGGTGTCTGTGGTTAACATCAAACAACTGTCAGAGTTCTGCTGGGACCCACAGTGGAAAGGGCTGACTAGTCATGGTTGAATTTTTCTGCCATGCACTGGAACCCAGCAAAGAAGCACCATGATGGATTACTTATTCTTTAAAAAGGAGGATTTCATGGGAGATTCTGGGAAGATGGCAGAAAGGAGGTTCGAGAAGCAACCGCCTCCTACACACACACCAAGGCAGCAGCTACTCACTCAGAAAACTACTTGAAGACAGAGCAGAACTTCCATAACTAAAAACGAAGAAAAGACTGCACTGAGAAGGGCTGGGGGGCAGAGCCACAGTTAGGATCCAAGCCCCTCCCCACCTCCAGCCCACAAGGGGGAGGAGCAAGGTGCAGAGGGGCAAAGCCTCTGCTTTTGGATGGCTAGTGTGCTGTGTCAATCAGTCTGAGACCTAACACAGAAGCAGCGGTTTGGGAAGCACCTGGGTTACAAGTAAAGGAGATTTATCAACTGATTTTGGGATGTATACCAGAGGGAGGGGATTTGAAGGAGTTTTCTCTGGGGGAGGAGAGGCTGACAGGTACCACTTTTCTTGGCCTCCTTCAGCCTAGCTGGCCAGACACTTGTGGGAACCAGTTCTGACACTTTCTAACCTGCCAGCACCATTCACCTTGCCCTGGCATTCCCCTGTGGACTCGTCCTACCAAGCTGCCTGACCCATCAGGCACCCATTCAGGATGCCTACTGAACCATCCCAGTGTGCAGACAGCCTCAGTCAGGATGCTACCCCTCCAGATTAACTCCTACCTTGAGAAGATGCAGCGTATACAGGCAGTAGACACAGCTGAGCCTCTAAAGTAGCCATGCCATGAATAAGCCCTCTCCACCAGTGTGCCCACAATAGTTTAGCCACTCCTGACAACCAGGCAGAGGGCAGGCCCCACCCACCAGCACAACTGCAGGGGCTGAAGCCAAGTATTCCAGCCAACCACACTGCGAGAGAGCCTTGCAACCTGATGTAATAGTGATGCTGGCCGCTGCCGACAGCCTAGTGAACAGCCAGCCTCTCCCACCAGCCCTCTGCCAACAACTGTGGTCCAGATGCACAAGAAGACTATACAGGGGACACCCCCAGAGGCACCTGATTCTGGTGACCAAGAGGCATTGCGTCGCTGGGCACCATGGGGTGTCCACTGCGTGAGGCCACTGCTTTCAAGAGACATAGCTGATCTACCTAGCACACAGAACCAGACAAAATGAGCAGGCAGAGAAATATGTCCCGGACATACACACACCAAAAGACAAAAAATGGCTAAACAAAATCGAGATGAGACATCTACCTGAAAAAGAATTCAAAGTGATGGTCATAAAGATACTCACCAGACCCCAGGCAGAAGAGCTGATGGACTCAGAACATCAACAAAATGATAGAAAATATAAAGAACCAGTCAGAGCTGAAGAGTACAGTAACTGAAATGAAAAATACACTAAAGGGAGTCAATAGATTAAAGAATGTAGAAAAACTGATTAGCAATCTGAAAGACAGGATAATGGAAAGCAACCAAACTAAACAGTACAAAGAAAAAAGAATATTTAAAAAGGAAAGGTTAAGAGGTGCAGTATTCATAATATAAGTCCAAAGAGAAAGAAAAAGGAGCAGAAACCTTATTTGAAAAAAATAACAGCTGAAAACCACCCTAACCTGGAGAAGGACACAGACATCCAGGCCCAGGATACACAGAGAATGCCAAACAAGATGAACCCAAGAAAGTCCACCTTGACACACAAAGTACGAAAATGTCAAAGATTAAAGATAAAGAAAAATCTTCAAAGCAGCAAGAGAAAAATAACTAGTTACATACAAGGGAAACCCCATAAGGCTCTCAGCTTTTTCAGCAGAAACTTTACAGGCCAGAAGGGAGTGGCATGATGTATTCAAAGTAAGGAAAAGAAAAAAATGTACAACCAAGAATATTCTACCCATCAAGGTTATCAATAAGAATTGAAGGAGAGATAAAGAGCTTCCCAGATAAACACAAGTTAAAGGACTTTATCAGCACTAAACTTGCCTTACGAGAAATGTTAAAGGAGTTTCATTAAATGGAAAAGAAGATGCACAATTCAAAGAAAATTATTAAAGAAAAATATTTCATTGGTAAGAGCAAACACAATAAAAGTAGTATGTCAATCACTTTTGAAGCTGGTATGATATCTAAAGACAAAAGTAGTGAAATCAATTTTATACATAAAAATTAGTCAAGGAATACACAAAATAAAAATATATACACAAGTGAAAAAATCAATTGTTTCTATACATACACAAGCAACAAATAATTAGAAGACATAATTTAAAACAAGACACCATTTACAAAAGCCACAAGGTACCTGGGAATCAAACTGACAAAAGGTATGAAAGACCTGTATAAGAAAATCATTACACTTTACTGAAAGACATTAAAAAAGACCTAAGTAAGGACACTTGATATATTAAAGATGTCAGTTCTCCAGAACTGATCTAGAGATTAAATGAAATATCAATCATGAGTTAATAAGAATTCAAATTGATAACTGTACAAGCATGTTTATAGCAGTATTACCTCAACAGCCAAAATGTGGAAACAACTCAAGTGTACATCAACAGATGAACAGACGGATAAAATGTGGTCATACAATGAATATTATTTAGCCATAAAAAGGAAAGAAATTCTGACTCATGCTACACTGCAGATGAATCTTGAAAATACTGTGTTGAGCAGAGAAGACAAGTAGTGACTCTATAGCATCTTACTATGCTGATGGACAGTGACTGCAATGGGGTATGTGAGGGGGACTTGATAATATGGATGAATGTAGTAACCACAATGTTGCCCATGTGAAACCTTCATAAGATTGTGTATCAATGATACTTTAATAAAAAAAGAAAAACAAACAAACAAACAAAAAATATATATACACACAAAACATGGAGAGGAGAATAAGAGACTGACATATACATAGAATGCTCTATATGAACCTCATGGTAAGCACAAATCAAAAACCTTTAATAGAGATAGAAAAAATAAAGATAAAGTAATCTAATCATGACACTAAAGAAAGCCATCAAATCATAAGTGAAGAGAGCAAAAGAAAGGAAAAGTTCTAGAGAAGAATGGCAAAACACAACCAGAAAACAATGAACAAAATGGCCATAATTACCTACCTATTAATAATTCCTCTAAGCATAAATGGACGTGGGGGCGGTCCAAGATGGTGGTGTAAAAAGAGCCTATACTCACTTCCTCCCATGTATACACCAAATCTAGCCAACATACAGAGCAATTCCTCCTGAAGAAGAACTGAGTGCTGGGTGACATTCAAAAGGTAGACCACATTTTAAAAAGGTAGGAGAGATAGGGTCCTGGTGATGATAGGAACCCTACCACCAATGCAGAGAGAAACCTGCAGTAAGGCAGGATATCACAAAGGGACCTGCACTCAGAGCCACCCTGGAGCACAGGGAAAAAAGAATGGTTTAAAGAGCATCTAGACTATAAGTGAAGGAGGCTGATTTACTAATCTAGAGTGCCACCCAAATGGCAGGGAAACTGCAGAACTCTTTCTGAGACCAGAGGTACTAGTGAGTGCCATTGCTTATGTTCCAGGCCTACACTAATAGTGCATACAAGAGCAGGGTCGAGACACCACTTCAGAAGGCCCAGTGTGTAGCTGACACCAGCTCAAGAAGTTCCCTGTGTGCACACAAGGGTGCACACAACCCACACAGGAGACACCCCTGGAGCTCTGGTGAACAGAGGATTTTGTGCTTCTGGCCACCAAAGGACACCTGCTACATAAAGCTACTGCTTTCAAGACCAGCCAGCATAGTTGATTTATCTAATACATAGAAACAAAAACAGAGAACCTGAAAAAATGAGGAGACAGATGAAAATGTTCCAAACAAAAGAACAAAGCACCACGAGAAATTCCAAATAAAACAGAGATCATCTACCTGATAAAGAATTCAAAGTCCTGGTCATACACATGCTCACTGTACTGGACAGAATAATAGATGAACTCTGGGAGGACTTCCACAAAGAGGCAGAAAAAATGAACTAGTCAAAGCTGAAGAATACA